CCCCTATGATCACACACACACGCACAACTACAATCACACACACACATGATCACATATGCCCACAATCACACACATAAACCCATGCTCACACACACACATGCACACCCATGCTCTTTCTCACACACACACCTACGATCACACATACACAACCATGCACATTCACTAGATCGGTCAAGGACCCAGCAGAGAACAGATGGGACACTTGAGCCGGGGGCTTGAGAAGGCTTAATAAAGGGACTGTTTACAAGGATATGGGCAGGGTAAGGAAGACCAATGGGGGGTCCCTTTCTCTCTCTCTCTCTCTTTCACACATACACACACACAGTGACCTCAGCTGCTCCCATGAAGGTAAACTATAGTTATTGGAGTCAGAAAATGCTGCTGTTACTCAATCCTGGAGTGAGGGAAGAGGAAACGAACTGTCTTCTTTTCCAGTGTTCACGCAGTCGTCACATGGTGGCATCAGGACCAAATGCTGCATATGGACTGGAAGCTGTCGTCAGCCCAGGCTGCCATAATAAAATACCACAACACATATTTATTTCTCACAACAGACTCCATTTTCTCTGGAGACTGGAAGTCCAAGATCAGGTGCTGGTGTGGTGGGGTCCTGGCGAGGGCCTGGCTTGCAGATGGCTGCCTCCTTGCTATGTCCTCACATGGGGCAGGGAGAGGGTGAGAGAGGGAATGAGAGACAGAGAGAGTGTGAGCACTCTGGTGTCTCCTCTTGTAAGGACACTAATCCTATCAGATAAGGGCCCCAGCTTTATGACTTCATTTAGCCTCAATTACTTTCTTACTCCAAATACAGTCATGTTGGGGGTTCAGGAATCAACATATGAATTTGGGGAGCACAGCTCAGCCCATAGCAGAAGCCCTTTTGATGCGAGGGCAAGAAGGCCAGGACCCTGGGCACATGAAGCAAGCAGAAAACCCAGGATCCTGCCACCCTCTGGCCGGACAGGAAGCCTGGTAAACACTTGACACTGTCGCCCAGGCAGCTGGAAACAGAGCAGCTCTCCATCCCCGGCACCCCTGAACTCAGAACTGCTGTTCTTCCAGAACTGCCTGCCCCTGACAGAGCCCTCCAGCTCTGAGTGCTTCTCAATCACTCACTGCTCAGTTAGAAACAGAGTAAGTTAGCTGCCTGGTCTGCAGTTAAACAGGAAAGCCAAGATTTTGATTCTATGCAAACGGTGGAGGACGCCATGGATCAGAGTCTTCCAGTACAGGCTGAAATCAATCTGAACACAAGGGATGTCTTGCTTTCATTTGGAGGCAAACTCAGGTTCTGATAGGTGTGGGAGAAGCGAGCTCCAGGTCCAGAGCATCTACACATGGACACACTCTCTGAGCAGTTTAGGCTTAGGGTGGCCATGAATGAGATTTACAAATGGAGGGCACAGCAGTCATTCTGCTCTGGTGAAAACAGAAATCCTCAGCCCTCTGCACACCTCTCTGTAAAGGGGACCTGCTGGGGGATTCAATGGTGCTGAGTTTCCCTCCCTTCCACATTAATGCATTTCCCAGGTGTCCTCTGACCTGGCTGGAGAGGCCCATGCGCATCAGAGACAAAGGAAACTCTCCTCTGTCTGTGACCAAGGCTACCCTGAGAAGGCATCCATACCCCTTTCACATCTCTGACACTCCCTCCTGGAAAACGGCACTGCCCTCAATAGTGTCGCTAATGAAAAACCAGAGACTATCCCTTTATCTTCGGGCTTCCTTACCATGTAGAAGTTAAGTCTAACTCCCCGAAGTGACAGCCCAAGCGCTTCAGTCCCTATGACTTCTATTTGCTCAGTGCTCTAACCCAAGGAGGTAAGAAAAACAGGTAGACTTGCCCCAGACAAACAACCAGTGAATGGCAGAGCCAAGACTTGTCCCCTCCTCTTTGACTCCCGGCCCAGTGTCCTCTCTGCTATACCTGCCTAGACCTTGGGAGACTGAGCACTTGCAGAATTCTTCCAAGAGAAACAGAAACCTACTT